AGAAAATACTTATGACCCAACTGAAAAATAATATTTTCCCTTTCACTAATATACTAAATAGAAAAGAAGACAAAAAAATATTTATTCCTTGGATTAAAACTATTTTGAGCTTACCTAGTTACCGGTCCACGTTACCTGCCAAAACATGTCAAATACTAAATATCACATTATTCATAACAAAACTTATTTAGCTGACTAAAATAGTAATAACTAATTATTAAAATAATTAGCTCATAAAAAAAATCGGGGTGTTACACCCTAAGTCTAACATGACCCTAGAAATGGTGTCTCTTAGCTTGCACGGTATAGTGAACATACTTGGGTTAGTGCATTTTTGTGGAAGTTTCTTTTGAAAAGCTGCCGAGACATGTTCACTAACTTTAATTTTTTATTTTCCTCTTAAGCGATGTGTCCTTTTGATTGTGAATAATTCTTTTAAAAATTTAGCGAATCGAGGGACACTTTTAATTAAGTTAAGGAGGAGAATATTTACCTCACATTTGGCGAATGTCTCATACATTTCTTTGTCATTTTTCAGCGGCTTTGTCTCCCTCAATGCTTCGGGAAACAGGAGTTGTGGTTCGTATGATGACAAGGGTGGACTCTTTGTGGTCATCTCTTCCGGTTGCTCTTTCTCTTGGACATCCTCCTCTTTATCCTTCTTTTGGATCTCTCTTTCTTGCAATTTTGATCCGCTTCTCAACATGATCGCATTAATATGTTGTCTCGGGTTTTGCTCCGTTTGATATGGGAGTTTACCCGAGTCTTTTGCCTCAAGTCGGCTTACGGCATTAAACATTTGGCTAACTTGAGTTTCCAAATTTTTAATGCTTGACTTGGTCTCATGTTGAAATTGTATCATGGTTTGTTGAAATTGTCCCATGTTTTGTTGCATGGTAACCATGTTCGAGGTCAAAGATCGGAAAATGTCATCGATTAACATATTGGAATGAGAAGGATTGGGTTGTTGAGGATTTCCATATCTCAAATTCGGATGATCCCTCAACCCTGGATTGTAAGTATTTGAGAAATGATCATACCTCTTTTGTTGACCTTGGAATCCCATGGCGTTGACTTGCTCAGATTCCTCTTGGAGTGATGGCCAAGAATCAGTGGGGTGCCCGATTGATGTGCATATGCCGCAGACCTTGACTTCTTGAGTTTTGGGTTATAGAAGGAGTTCCTTCACCAAAGAAGTCAAACCGGCAACTTGGTTTTCCAATGAGGTGTTGGATTCCGCTGCGGCAACCCTTCGGGTTGAGGACCGCCCATTGTAATGCCTAGAGTTCTCGACCAACTCCGAGATGAGATTCCTTGCTTGAGAAGGGGTTTTGTTTACAATCCCCCCTCCACATGCCGCATTCACCATGCGCCTATCTTGATCAGCAAGAACATCCTAAAATAGAGGATGAGGTCTTGATCGGTGTACCCATGATATGGGCAACTAACACACAACTTCTTGAAACGCTTCCAATATTCATACAATGTCTCATCTTCAAAGTAGCAAAACCAAGATGGAAGAGTTTAGCTCCTCACTTGGAGACTAAACATGATGAAAATATAAAGAAAGAACTTATCTAGACTGAGCTTAGAAGTATATGTGAATTGGTGATCAAATGGGAAGGAAAAGAGGTGTATTTATAGGTGTTTGGAGGTGGCAAGATCATTTATCCGAATGGGTTTTTCAGAAACCTGATCGGGTTTCCTGAGTAACTGCCCGGAATCTTCATTAGTCACATCTACCCGATCGGGTTTTTGATTTACCCGATCGGGTAAAAGACAAATCTTTGTCCTGCACGTTTAATTGCCTCCAAAATCAGATTTGATCTTCAGGTCAAGTCAAACCCGACCGGGTTTTTGCAAAACCCGACCGGGTTTTTGACTATTTCCCTAAATTTTCACTTTGTCTTGTTCTGTTGCACTTTCCTTGACCTTTCCAGGATCCTTTTGATGATCTTTACCTAGTTTAAGCTCAGAAAATTCCTAATCTATACAAATTACAAGCAACTAGGAAAAATAAAGTATTACACCAAAAGTGTGTAATTTCCCAAACAACAACAAATAAAATTAGTTAAAATTACAAACATAAACAATAACAATTTATACTATCAGAGTACATGGAGTGCAAGTTTGGTGGAGGTAGAAGTAGTGATAATAATGGAATTACTCTAGATGGTAAGGAGATACCGGTCAGCGATATGTTCCGTTACATGGGCTCCATAATTCAAAAGGATGGTGAGTTAGATGAAGATGTATCCCATAGAGTCAGAACATGGTGGATGAAGTGGAAGAGTGCGTCAGGATTTCTATGCGATCGACGTATGCCGACTAGACTGAAGAGTAAATTTTATAGGACACCAATTAGGCCTGCATTATTGTATGGCGTAGAGTGTTGAGCGGTGAAACAATGTCACATTCAAAAGATGAGTGTGGCAGAGATGCACATGCTGCGGTGGATGTGTGGGCATACTAGGAAGGACCGTGTGAGGAATGAGACAAACAAACAAAGGTTGAGAGTAACACCTATTGAAACAAGATGTGTGAGTCGCGCCTACGATGATTTGGTCATGTGCGTAGAAGACCAAGTGATGCACATGTCAGACGAGTTGAAATGTGTGGAGAAGAAGCAGAGAAGAGAGGGAGAGGAAGGCCCAAACAAACATGGGTTAGGGGAGTCCGAAGGGATATGCTTCTTCTTGGGTTGGATGAGGATATGGCTTTGGAGAGAGCAAAGTGGAGGACGAGTATTCGTGTGGAGGAGTGATCTCGTATCATCTTTTGCCCTCATCTTTTTTTCCTTGTTTTTTTATCCTTTTATCCTTATATATACAAACATTATTCTTATCCTTATATTGTATCATTTTTATGTATATTCATCTCTTTTTATATTTCTTTTTTGTAATAACCTGTCTTTTTTATCTTTATTTTCTTTCTTTTGCTTTTGGTGGTGATATTATGTATCGATTCATATTAGCCGACTCCGATATCTTTTGAGACTAAGGCTTGGATATTGGACAACTTTATATGTAAATTTACTGTTCTAGAATGAAAAACTTCCGTACAATTGGGGTAATTATCCTCTTGAAAGATCGAACTATCATGGGCTGAAAAGGGAGCTAGATCCATCAGCTAACTTGCCATCTCAATATCTCATGAATTAGTTAGGAAGGCGTTAACAGACACCGTCATCTGTTTGCTTGTATACATGTTAGTTTCCTTGTAAAACATGTACACAACTACAATGATCTAAGGGAAAAACTATATGAAATGAATTCATCTTCTTACGGTCATTCTCACGTTGTGAGCTTAAACCCCAAGAATATGTTAATTGGTATCAGCGGGGCGAGCCAAAGCACTAGGCCGGACTGACCCGATACAAAGAATACTTTTGGGAAAAAACTTATACATAATTTTTTACTCTAAAAATATATATTTTTTTTTAATTTGAGGTAGGCCATGGCCTAGGCAGGCCACCCCTAGCTACGCCCCTGGGTATCAGAGCTTCGATAATAAAAAGCCGACTTTGGTATAAAAAAAGCTGAGCTTTGATAATAAAAAGAAAAGCTTCATTTCTGCTATTAGAGCTTACCAAGGCTGCATTTGTCGTCAGTGGTGATCAGAAAATAACTGTTGCAGCTCTCTGTTTAATGGGGGACAAGGTAGCATGTTCAGAAAGACAGCTCGAAGAGCAGCCGAGCAGCACCTGAGAAATGAACGCAAGTTCTCTGAAACTAATTAGGAGTTGGGGGCACTCATGCTTTATTACAAAAGAGAAGTCGGGAATAGGGGTGGACTGGGCCGAATCAGCCCATGAACCGGACCGGCCCGCTACTGTGCAGGCTCGGACCGGATCGGGACCGGGACTGGATGGCTGGTTCCGGGATTTAGTCCGGGTTGGGCGGGCCTGGCTCGGGCCCTGTTTTTCTTGAACCGGCCCGGGCGGTCCGAGCCAAACCCGGTTCAATTTTTTTTTTTTCAATTTTTTTCTTTTCCTAGGGTAGGGCTAGGTGTTTTGGGGAGGTTTGAGGGGTGGGGTGGGAGGTCGGGGGTTAATTAGAAAGCAAAAAATATATATATTGGACCGGCCCGGTTCCGGACCCAACATCTGGAAAAAAAACCGGCTTGAACCGGCCCGAGCCCGGTCCATGCCTATAACTCAGGAAGAAGAAGCCCAGTCAACACACTATGCTCATTCTCCTTCCAATTATGACAGCTCCATCCCTCGTACTCTAGGAGACTAGGAGGTAATCATGTTTGCTTTCTTGGATTTTCTCTTAAAATTGAGTTCCCAACATTCTCTAGGAATCATCGACACACTATGCTCATTCTCTGAATCGTTGTTCTGCCAGTTACATATCCATTCATAAATCAGTAATCTAGGAACAATTTGTAATTGACGTTTGTGCGTGTCATGATTAAGAGCCTCATATTACGATGAAACAGCAAAAAGAATGGTCCAATAGTGAGGAGGACAGCACATGTGAATTATATAAAGATTTTGAATCATGATTTAGTTAGGACTTTAGTTAGTATTAACACCAGTTTCAAACCGTGCCTAGCGGGTTTCAAATTCGAGACCGCTCACTAGGCACAGTAACCTCACATTCTCAAACCGTGCCTAGCTAGGCTAGAATGCTTGGTTACAGACATCTAGTCTATTTACTCATATAGATGATGGCTTACATTTAAATTCTACACATGCATATATAGTTACAATGATGCAAGGGAAAACTATCCAGAATGAGTTCATCTTTTCTCTCATTATTAGTGAGATATTCATCTCTAATTACTATTGATAGTTAGTTCAAAATTTATTCTTCTATTAATTACTACTCCGTATTTTATAACTATATAATTCTTCGGATTAACCCAGCATTGTGTCACGAACCCGACATTTATAAATGAAAAGAAACAAGGAGAACAAGATCCAATTCAACATTCAAGAGAAAAAGAGAGAAAGATTTCAAATTCTATTAGTTTGAAACTTGGAAGTTGGAACTGAGGGATAGAAAATAGTTGGCATTCAAATTCCAGTAGTTACTTAGCATGGGCATCCAAGACGAAAGGGAGGCTTTTTAGCATGGAAAAAACAGACACATGCAACTATGTAAGGGCTCCCTCTAGGAATTCAAATACTACATAGTTCCTTACGAAATAGAATTCGCTGCACCAAACTTAAAGAAATACGGAGTAATATTTTGTGAATCAAGTCAAAATAACTGCACAAAATGTTTTATCATGAAAATGCGCACAACACAAACCATCTCCCGGAAAGTATTGTCAGCACAGATAAGTAACATAACATAAAAAAGTACATAACTTTGCTTAATAGCATCTGAAATGCCACAAAACCCGAGGACACCCAAAAAACTCTCACAGCTCAAATTAAGCGATATCTAACCACTACTTTCTTCATGGGTAACCACCTTTGAGCGGATCAGCAACTTTTCCAGATCTAGAATCTGACCAGGCCTTTGCAATGGTGCGTTTCATATCATCATCTCCATCCTCGTACATATTCTGAATGTTAAGAAACCAAGTATATATATGTAATGTAATATTAACACTTGGCATACATCAATCCAAAATAGAACCTAACTATTATCCTTAACAAAGAAAGATTTACCTTCATCAAATCCATTATTCCGGCCATGGGATCCTTCTCTTTGTCTACACTTGGCTTAAACTGCATGTTTTGAAGGTAGAACATGGTTGGAAACTTTTAAATGGAATTAACCTCATTTTGGTGCTTATATGTACAGTTTTAGGCCATCACCTTGTCATCTTTGTAGTGCAAATCCAGCCAGTTCCCTTTAGTAGCTTTTAGCAAGGAGAGAACCACCCTATTGGGCTTCACTATTACCTTACACTTGTCAGGAATTATCTCCTTGTTCAACTTTCCTATAGAGAAGCGGTAGTTCTTCCCTTGCACACCATTAAACTTGATATCAACAGACATTGGTTTGAAGCCAGCATCTATCTTCTCTTTATCAACACCTTCCAGAGAGACATAAATCTAGAAATCACAATTGGAATGATCACACAGTTAGGGCCTGTTTGGTAACAGCTGCAACAGCTGAATAGACTGAAAAGGCTGAATGTGCTGAAGTGAAAATGTTTGGTAATATGTTGGCTGAAATGGTTGATTGAGTGTAAAATTTTTATAAGCTGAAATGTTGACTGTTAGGTGATTATAAGAATGCTTACTTAATTTATTACTTTGAATTTTTTACATGAATTTTTTTGAATAAATGATACTCCCTCCGTTCCTATTAAAACTTCCAACTTTCCTTTTTCGTCCGTTCCAATCAAAACTTCCACTTTCCCTTTTTAGTAAAGAATTTGTGGTTCACAACATTTCTTACACATTTCTCTCTCCTCTGCACAACACTCCACCACACAATACCCACTATCTTAAATTGTGTGCCAAACCTATTTGGAAGATAAAATAGGAACGGAGGGAGTATTATTATAACTTTTTTGTAAACAATATGAGTAAATTAATTTTAAAAAATACCCTTTCTATAAAGTATACGGAGTATTAAAAACTCACATGCACTTAAAAAAATTAAAATAAAATGAAACAAAACATACAGAGTATTTATTGGGGGGTTTTTGAATTTTATTTTACTCAAGTCCAAAATATTAAAGTATGGAGCACTCCTTGAATAAGAAGCTATTGATCTGGAGTACCCAAGCAAGGAGCTTTCGTTCGAAACAACGAGCATGTATTTCAATATAAAAGGCTAAAAGGGCCTTTTCAATCTCAAATAGTACAATAATAAAAAACAGCTCAAAAAGTAGCCATATTGTTGTTTTTCGGCTGATCATAAAAATCAGATCAAACAGCCAATTCATCAAGTGTTTGGTATTTTTTTTTCATACTTTCAGGCTTTTCAGCCCATTTTGGGTGCTCCAAACACCCTCTTGGAATACAATAAATAAACCTTTGCACTGGTATGGGCGTACAGAACCAGTTCCAACTGCTAGAGCACGTTAGGCTTGGGATTATGTTAGGGAAAGGGAAAATTTTGACAATGAAAGTGGTTTTCTTATGTTTGGCTTGAGTTGAAAAAAAATGGCTAAAGACTCGGTCTTAGTATCTAGAGAAAAGGAATTTTAGAAGTCTTATTACATATTTAAGATTCAGTCTTTACCCTCTATATTGATTTTGAAACTGGGTCTTATTTTACCCAGAATATTCTTTGCTTCCAAATTTCATCTCTACTTTCCTCCCTATTTTGACTCCCTGGTACTTACTTTGGTCCAAACAGACACTTATAGAATATAAAAAATGAAAAAGAAAAAACTATGTATGACAAAATGAATGTGGTTGCTAGTGAAATGATAATTGCTTGACAATGGGAAATCCCTGCTAATCTTAGACATCACAGTCAACATGTAACCTCCTATATATAGAAAATCATTATGAACAGGTCATTATTCAATCCTACCTTCACTTTGTCACTATCCTGATCCCAGCTAAAGGTTGAAACTGTTGCATAACTAAGTGCTGGGTTAGGGACAACTTTTGGCGCAGTTGAAATAGGGGCAGGTACTTGAGAGTGCAAGCTCACATCATTTGACAGCTGTATCAGCAATATACACATTCAGTTCCAACAACAATTAGGCCTGTTTGTTACCAGCAAAACACTAGGGAAATAAAATAGAAAGCAAAACATAGAGAAGAAGGAATGCATATAAGGGGGATAGACATATAAAACATAAAATAGTTAAACTAGTAACAAACAACTGAAGAAGTAAAGGATATATCCATATGAGCTAATACCATTAAGTGTGAAGTCCAAAAAGTGTGAAACACAAACACATGAGCTAATACCAGTAAGTCATTAGAATTCAAACACACAAACAGAAACATCACATCCAAACTGAAAGATTAATAGAAACTATACGTTAAGGACTTAGGGATTAAATGAATAAAATACTTGCTAGGGTTTATATGAAATCAGACTTGTTAAGGTTTAGTGTGACCACATGTTTAATTAATAGACTTCTATTTAAAAAAGTACTCTGGGCCTTTTATTTTGAAAATAAAAACAAGGCTAATTCACAACCTAAGCTTCACCAATGCCTCCAAGACCATCAAACCACGAGTATAGAAAATACTATGTGTATGCAATGTACGCTTAAATCAAAACTAATCTCCGTTAAATGATTCAATTCTTTGTATTGTCATTTCCATTCCACACCTTTATACAACACAAGTGTCACTGATACCTCCAATACGAGGCACTATGATCCAATTCCCAGCACAATATTGTTTATACTTCAAGATTAAGTATTAGCGCACCAAGATTAAATACGGAGTATAAATACAATTAGCAACACAGGAAAAAACTAAATGAGATAATCCAGTACAGAGGTAGAACTAAGAACACAAAAATGAAGGAAAACAGATATTAGAAACTCGTAAGTTATAATCGAAGATCTTTCTTTCGAAACCCACCCACCAATGGAGTATGTAAACAAACTGCCAAAAAAATATCAGAGCCCCTGCAGGAAGTAGAAAATAACCTTTTCCAAGCTGCGAATTTCAGAGGAAATGAGAGAGAGAACGCGTGGCCTCTTTGCGATACTTTGTAGCTGTTTCAGTTCATCCAAGTCCAATGCGAACTCTTCCACTGGGTCTGATTCAGCCATTTTCTGCGATCTTTTCACCTTCGATCGATAGGTAATCAGCACACACAGAAGAACAGCTATTTATGAATGGATGGTGTATGCACTCGGGGTCGACCCTTCGAGTTGTCTCAAGAAGGTACTAGAGTGGACTAGGCCCAAGTCAAAAAAGCAAATAGTGTTATAAATTTGATTCGATCATATATGCTCTATTTTGTTCTGTTGAAAACGTTTTCTATCTCATTGAAAAAATTCTTTGAAGTTTTAAAGCTATTTTTCCAATTTCATTTACAAGATCAGATATAGAAAGTATATATATTGAACACTTAGGGATAAAGATATTATTAATGTGCGGTAGAGGAGTGATTATAGTGTGATATCATATTGTGATAATTACAATGGAGAAGAATCCTATTTATAGGAGAAAAGCTAAACTTCTTAGGATTAGAGGATAATTGTGAACCACACAATTATCATTTAGAATCATATTTATGATTTTCTAATTATTTATTCAAAGGTGATAATAACTCCTAATCAGGAATAGTTGGAAGATAAATAATTTAATTATATTTCAACACTCCTCCTTGAATGGTCGTCCTCTAATTATTCTGGAGTAATAGTATCTTAGTATTATAATGTACTATCTCGTTAAAACACTTTGTGAGGAAAACCCCAGTGGGATAAAAACCTGATTAAGGAAAAAAGAGTGCAGTGCATTATATTATTCCCCCTCAATTTAATACTCCCTCCGGTCCTAAATAAATTTCACACTTTGACTTCACACAAATTAAGGAAATAAATTTGACTTTACTGTATAGTACACTGTTGTGACACTGTTTGGCATTGTTTTGCACTGTTTTGATGTAGAGAATTTGCCAAATAAGTAAGGGAGAAGAAGTGTGAAGTTTATTTTGGACCTACCCAAAAAGGAAAGAGTGAAGTTTATTTAGGACCGGAGGGAGTATATATCTAGAAGACGCCACATTCCAATTTTGTAGATCAGTTCTTCAAATTTCTTCGGTGCCAATGACTTTGTGAATAAATCAGTAGGGTTGTCGCATGACTTGATTTGTTTGACATCAATTATTCCTTCTTTCTCAAGATCATGTGTGCAGAAACGTTTTGATGCTATATGCTTTGTTCTATCCCCTTTGATGTAACCTCCTTTGATCTGAGCTATATATGTTGTGTTATCTTCATAAATCACAGTAGGATTACAAGTAAAAGATTTTATACCGCATTCATTGTCTATGTGTTGGATCATTTATCTAAACCAGACACATTCTCAACCTGCTTCATAAAGAGCAATTAATTCTGCATGATTTGATGATGCGGCAGTTAATGTTTGCTTCATTCATCTCCACGAGATAGCGATATCACCATAGGTGAATAAACATCTTATTTGTGATTTTGTCTTTTATGGATCAGACAAGTATCATGCATCAACATAGCCAATTAAAGTGGCATTTGCACCATTCTTGAAATACAATCCAAGATCGATTGTACCATTGAGATAGCGGAATATATGTTTGACACCATTCCAATGTCTTCTTGTTGGGGAAGAACTGTATCTGGCTAATAAATTTATAGAAAAACAATATCTGGTCGGGTACTATTAGCCAAATACATTAACGCTCCAATGGCACTCAAATATGGTATTTTGGGATCAAGGGTTTCTTCATCATCTACACAAGGTCGAAAAGGATCATCATGCACATTGAGAGATCGAACCACCATTGGAGAGTTGAACGGATGTGTTTTATCCATGTAAAATCGTTTCAAAAGTTTCTCGGTAAAATTTGATTGGTGGATAAAAATCTCATTTCTCAAATGTTCAATTTGAATGTCGAAACAAAATTTTGTTCACCCAAAGTCTTTCATTTCAAATTCTTTCATGAGATATTTAGCAGTATTTTCAATTTCATTGGGAGTTCCGATTATATTCAAATCATCAACGTATACTGCAATTATGGTGAATCCTGATTCAGATCCCTGAAGGATAACACATGGACTAATATGATCGTTGATCAAATATTCACATAGACAGTTATACCACATGCGTCCAGATTGTTTTAATTCATATAATGACTTTTGCAATTTTATGGAAAACAAATCTCGAGATTTCGAGCTATAAGCATCAAGTATTTCAAATCCTCCCGGAATTCTCATATATATGCCTGTATCGAGTGAACCGTATAAATATGTGGCCACTACATCCATTAGGCGCATTTGCAGCCTTTCAAAAACAGACATGCCAATTTAAAATCTTAAAGTGGTAGCATCAACTTATGAAGAATACATCTCGTCATAATCGATTCCTGACATTTGAGAAAAACCCATTAAAAACCTACAAGTTTTACGCCTTTTGACGTATGGGCAATTGGTCCAAAAACATTACGCTTTTCTAGCGATTTTAATTCTACCTGAATTACTTCATTCCATTTTGGCCAATCATTTCTACAACGATATTCATAGAATTAGGTTCATTGTCATCGTGTTCATCCATTATACCGGTGACGATGACATATGAAAATATATCATTAACATCAATATCTTTTTCTATTCCATTGTAATCTATTAATTAGAAACGTAATTAATTGAAATTTCGAAATTATTGACATTTATATTCTTCTTGAGAAGGTTGAACTTCTTTGGCATCACAACTACATCTTACTTTTTAAATTTTCTTGGTTTCAAATCTCTTGAACCAAGTGGTCTACCACGTTTTTTACGTATCATAGATTCATTAGCAAGAGTTCTTTCGCTAATCTCCACATGGATTTCTATTCGAGAAGGAGCATTCATAGCTGGAATAATTCCCCTGCATTATCAATCCGGATTTTCTTTATTGAATAATTCGGAAATTGTGATTTCAAACAAATAATTTGAGCACGGAGATTTGCAAATGCAAAATTTCTAGTCGATAAAAGCCTGACATGTGACCAACGTGTTGATGCATCAATGAGAACCATAAAGTATCGAAATGGTCCACACGGAGGGGCAATTGTCCCACAAATATCTCCTTGAATTCTTTCTAAAAATACAGGAGATTCAACTCCAAATTTGTATAAAGATGGCCTGATAATTAATTTGCCAAGAGAACAGGCAGTGCATGAGAAATTACTTGATTATGGAATTTTGACATTATATAATGAATGTCCAAGTGAATTTTGAATAATTTTGTGCATCATAGTGCTGCCTGGATGACCTTAACTGATGAAGTAATGGGACTAGGCCCAGAGCCTAATCAGCCCAAGCCCCGAACGTGGACCAGTGTATCCAAGTCCACCACCTGGAGCCTGTCTGCCAGCCCAGCGGGGAGCCTGCCAGTCCGGCCGACCTCCTAGCACGGAAGAGTAACGGTCAAGCAGTTAATGCGCTATTAATTATGTATTTAATTCTGTATTAATGTTGTATTTAATTAGTCATTATTATGAGTTGCGGTTACGATTTGTATACGCCTATAAAAGGTGGCTTGTAATTCATATTAGAGAGACAAATTCTACATGCTATTTCTGGCAACTAAACGCTTTTACCTTCTTTACTTACTAGACGATGAAGCCATGCGTTGCACGGGAATACTCAATATACATTAATGAGATAAAAGGAGATTGATTGATTATTTTGTTACAAACTTATTCCATACTTGAAGTGTTATTAAATCGATCAATGATCATGTTATGAAGATAAATAGAGCACCGCAATTGCTTTAGGAGGGAAAATTGCAAAATCAATTGGCCACCCAATTGCTTTATATAATATAAAGATTAATTGTGTGTCTAGATGGACGAAACAACTCAATTGCAAAATTGAAAAATCAATTGAACATCGCAATTGCTTTAGGAGGGAAAATTGCAAAATCAATTGGCCAACCAATTGTTTTATATAATATAAAGATATAATATAAAGATACATGACCGTATGAATAATAAATGACTTTTAATTGAATTAATTGTGTGTCTGGATGGACCAAACTACTCAATTAAAAAATTGCAAAATCAATTGAGCACCGTAATTGCTTTATGAGGGAAAATTGCAAAATCAATTGGCCACCGAATTGCTTTATACTCCGTATAATATAAAGATTAATTATATTGTGTGCTTGGATGGACCAAACAACTCAATTGCAAAATTGTAAAATCAATTGAACACCGCAATTGCTTAGGAGGAAAAGTTGCAAAATCAATTGGTCAGCCAATTGGTTTATATAATATAAAAATATAATATAAAGATGACCGTATGAATAATAAATGACTTTTAATTGAAGTAATTGTGTGACTGGATGGACCAAACAACTCAATCCCAAAATTGCAAAATCAACTAAGCATCACAATTGCTTTAGGAGGGAAAATTGCAAAATTAATTGGCCACCCAATTGCTTTATATAATACAAAGATTAATTGTGTGCCTGGATGGACCAAACAACTCAATTGCAAAATTGCAAAATCAATTGAGCACCGCAATTGCTTTAGGATGGAAAATTGCAAAATCAATTGGCCACCCAATTGCTTTATATAATATAAAGATTTGCATTATTTTCCTGATTTCCTGCTTGAGTGTCGTACGTAGCTTTCCTAAAAGCCTATGAGCGTCATATTTTGGACCAACATTGGTGCTTTCATTGAGAGCTGAACTCAAGTAGGAACACGGAGGTCCAAAATATCCAAAAATCAGGTGAGATTCATCCAAAATATCCAAAAAATTCATCCCAATTACAAAAAATGGCCAAAAATATGTTCTGAAAAAAGGGAAATCTGGAAATGAGATCTGCAATTACAAATCTCAGAGGAGAAGAATCTGGTCTGGAACGACTCATCGAAAGAAGCAATCGGAATCTGAAACCGGGCCAACCACCACCGGCGACGTCACCGTAGGGCCGTGCTCCGCCACGAATCTGCGGCCTGGAGAACCCACGGTGGATCTACAGACGCCCCAAGCACCAACTCCGCCACAACGGACCGGCGGACCGGCAGTTTTCCGACCAGTCCGCACCAACCCGGCGTTGAGCGTTCAACGGCCAGCGACGAAGCACAAAGCTTCTTGAGCCGACTCCGCCACCTCTCTCGTAAGGACGCCTGGAAGCCTGGCCGCCTAGCCTGCCTGGCCGCTCGGCCGCCCGGAAGCCTGGCCGGAATTAGGAAAGTAATACGAAT